TATTATCGAAATCTACATTTTCGAACAATTTTCCCCCTAAAAAAAATGAAATACAATTAACCGTTCCCGAACCCGAAAAATATTAAAAAAAAAAAATTTTTTTTACATGAAATTAGATGCAGACATAAACAATACAATGGGAAATGATGAATGAAACATTAACACATAACACTTACCTTATTGGAGATTCTTCTTGTGTATGGGGGCGGGGAGAAAAAAGATTATTTTTTTCAGTTTGGAAGGGGAAACCCTTCAGCAAACCCCAGTACCAATTGTTTTCTGGGGTTGTTTCTTCCTGTTTCTTAATGCCACAGGACCACCCTTTAGAGTTACTGGAGTCCTGTCTCGCAAAATAAAATGTGTAGAGAGCTGTTTCTCATTTTTCCACACCCTTTAATAACTTCTCAACTCTCGAGTATGGTGATCTCATTTTTTTTCAGCTATTTTCCCCCCTTTTAACAACAGCATCCCTTTATTTTTCCCCTTTCTTGGCCGATGGAAAATATGGTTGTGTAGGGTATCTTATACATCCTGACCCTTCGGCTGCACTTGTGCCACTTTTCATTGTTCAATGATGTTTTTTTTTAAATTCAAAGTAATTTTTTACCTTCTTTACCCGGGTGGCATAGGGTTTCTTTGGAGATGGAGAAAAAGTACGCAAGCACAAAGGGGGGAAATTTTGAAAAAAATTCGTTTTGGGCAGGAGGGGACCTTCGTCACTGGTAAACAATTTCCCACTGGCTGGGTGGGAGGCCGCCCCCCGGTCCCGTGCGTACATGTCCGGCGCCTCTATTCCGGGCAAACCCACGATTTCGAGCCCTGTTTATATAAAATATCCTTGATTTCCGAAATCTACGATTCCGAGAACTACGATTATCGAGGGGAAAACCCCTGTATATTTTTTGGTGGAGAGCGGTGTTGTGCAACTAACATTAAATTTACAGACTATAATTGCCAACAAAAAGAGGGAAAATTCAGGCCTATACCTCAACAACAACCGAATTTCAGCACCATATCAACACATAATCAAAAAAAGAATCAAAACAGTTGGGATCCTCCCAAGATACGATACTACGTGCCGCAAATGCCCTTTCACATATACCATTCACTCATTATCCAAAACCTCCCTATGCTATTGGGCTTGGGTTCAACTGCAGAACACAACTAAACCCAATAATAACCAACAAAAAACTGCAATAAGAATGTTTCACTAAATCCATCCTGGCAAAAAACCCCCCCCCCACTTTTCATAGACTAAACTTCTCCCTGACAGAACATCCACACTTACTACTGTGCAGTACATATACAGGACCTTAATTCCAAATAACCTTGACTAAAATGCTTTCTTGAAGTTGTGACAGAACCCACAGGCAAACATCAGACACAACATCTCTATGACATTCCCCGGTCCAACTGAACCTTTACAAAAATTCATGTTTGTCAAAGGCCCAAAATCGGGGAACGCCAAACCTGAAAAACTCTAGAACTGCAGACACATTCATCACCTTCAAAAACTACCGTTAGAAAACATCTTATCTCCCTGATACACCCGTCAACTAATACATAAAAACCACCTGGTGGTTCACACTTAAACCCATTTGACTATAAGCACAGAAAAACGTACCTAATCTTAAAATAATGATTCCTAACTATATTAAAGTTTGCCTTGATAACTCTAATATAAAACTATGAAATTGGCCAAAACAAACATCACATTGCTAAACTCAAAATAGTATTTGTCACTTAGTATTTAGTCACTTAGTATTAGTCACTTTATTTAGTCAACTTAACTCCACAATTTGTTATAAATTAGGGCAAAGGGAATTTATCTAAGTTTCCCCAAAAAAGCCTACCATGCTAGGGTTCAGGGGCCCCCTCATATTATATTTTATTACATGTAAACCACACAATAACGCAAAATCTGTAAACCCGAAATTGTAACCTATAGAGAAAAACTTTGATTGATTTGATTTGATTTAAGGAACTGTCACCTTATGGGTTTAAGCTTCCCATGAAAAATGATAATTAATGTAATAAAAATTTAGTAATGTTAATTATAATTAGAATAAAATAATTAGTATTTGATAATTAGTAATAATTATGAATTTAAATAATATATTTAATAGGAAATTATAATAATATTTAATAAAATAATTAATAATATTTAATAATTTAATCATTAATTATAATTAATAATTAAATTAATATATTAATTTAAAAATTTATTAACAATTTAATAAGTAATAATTTAATAAGAAATAATTTAATAATTAACAATAATTTTAATAAATTGAAAATTTTAATAGCAATAATTTAATAATAATAAAATAATACAGCATAGGTGTCATAGATAACAATACCCTCACACCATCCACTTTTCTTTTTACCGCAGCAATCGCTTAAAAGCCAGTCTGGGCCCCAGAGAACCCCATCAGCACCGACCCCAGTATTTGGTGAAGGCTTAGCGAGGCTCCGAGGGAAAACATGACTCAGCGAAGAGAGAGCGTCTGAGGACACCACTTAACCACCACCCTAAGGAGACAGTCGTAAAATTGGGGTGAGGAAGTAAACCTAAATTATTACAATGATGTTATAGCTGAGAAAAAATTTAATAATAAGAGTGTAATAATAATCATAATAATATTAATTATAAAAATAATAATAATTTACATTTTTGTTATAAGTGCCAGACTCACTGTTCATGTTACATTATTCCCGTTTCAGCAGCGAGGTAGTCCATTACAATACCCATCACTGCCGAGACGCACACGCCCCTCCTTCCCCCAACACGTGACGCCGCTCTGTCGTTGCTACTGCGCCCTAATTTAAATGGTTTTTTCCCAAACCGAATGGGGGTGTACTGCGCTGGTGCAGAGCTCTGATACAGGATCAAAGCTACTCTTTCCTTCCGGGATTTAATCTGATCACCCCCCTCTCGCCTTTATGGGCCCTATAGGTTCATGCTTTCCCTTGAATGTAAAATAATAATATTACAGGTCTACATCCCTATATCTGAAATTCTGAAATTCGAAAAATTCCGAAAAGTGAAGTTTTTTGTGGAGTGGGGTCATGCTGCCATGTGGCGGTATTGAGAATCATTCTGAAATTCGAAGAAGTCTGAAATTCGAAACTCAAAACTAACCAAGGGTTTCAGATAAAGGGTTGTACACCTGTAATAATAAGTAGCATAACTATCTTTGGTGATGATGAATTATTTAATTTTTTGAGTCTCTGCTTCAATGCCCACGTTACTGCAGTGTTTTAGTCCAGTAGTTTTACTATTATAAATAAGTACTTCTATGCAATAAGATCACAATAAACAGGTTATATCACAATATGCAAAAATAACCACAATGGAAAAATAGTGAAATTCCAAGTATTTTTATAATTTCTCACATTATCATTATCCTCGATGATGTGAAAATTCACAAAAACGCTTAGAATTTCACTATTTTTCACTGTGGTTATTTTGCATAATGCAGTTTTATATATGCTGTAATTATACGTATTTTTTTTAACACTGGTTGCCGCCCACTGAGGTAGGGTGACCCCAAAAAGATGAAATACTTTCACCGGTACGGGTGAAAACATTAGGGCATGTTTCCTTAAGTAAGTACGTGGGTGCTAGGTTATTTATATTTTTATTATCACACTGGCCGATTCCCACCAAGGCAGGGTGGCCCGAAAAAGAAAAACTTTCACCATCATTCACTCCATCACTGTCTTGCCAGAAGGGTGCTTTACACTACAGTTTTTAAACTGCAACATTAACACCCCTCCTTCAGAGTGCAGGCACTGTACTTCCCATCTCCAGGACTCAAGTCCGGCCTGCCGGTTTCCCTGAACCCCTTCATAAATGTTACTTTGCTCACACTCCAACAGCTCCTCAAGTATTAAAAACCATTTGTCTCCATTCACTCCTATCAAACACGCTCACGCATGCCTGCTGGAAGTCGAAGCCTCTCGCACACAAAACCTCCTTTACCCCCTCTCTCCAACCTTTCCCAGGCCGAACCCCCACCCCGCCTTCCTTCCACTACAGACTGTTAAAACTCTTGAAGTCATTCTGTTTCGCTCCATTCTCTCTACATGTCCAAACCACCTCAACAACCCTTCCTCAGCCCTCTGGACAACAGTTTTGGTAATCCCGCACCTCCTCCTAACTTCCAAACTACGAATTCTCTGCATTATATTCACACCACACATTGCCCTCAGACATGACATCTCCACTGCCTCCAGCCTTCTTCTCGCTGCAACATTCATCACCCATGCTTCACACCCATATAAGAGCGTTGGTAAAACTATACTCTCATACATTCCCCTCTTTGCCTCCAAGGACAAAGTTCTTTGTCTCCACAGACTCCTAAGTGCTAGGGTGCTAGGTAATTATATAATATCTTTATTTCTACAAGTACATGTACAAGGTATACAGACCATAGCTGACATCAATGTCATACTACTATATAGAAAGCCCCTTATTATGCAGAGTATTTCAGGAAAATTAGGTCAATTTTGTTCCAGGATGAGACCCAAACCAGTCTACTAATACCCAGGTACCTATTTTACTGCTAGGTGAGCATGGGCAGCAGGTGTCTTATGGAAACACATCCTAATGTTTTCCAGCCATACCGGGGATTCGAACTCCGGACCTCAATGTGTGAGCTTAGTGCGCTACCAATCGATCTACACCTGTTGTCACTGTTCACTTAGCAGTAAGTAGGTACCTAGGTGTTAATGAACTGGTGTGGGTAGCATCCTGGGGACAAAATTAACCTAAGTTATGGGAAATGTTCTACATAACCAGGGACTTTCTGTATAGTATGTCACTGATGTCAGCTATGGTCTGTATAAGTTTTATCATGTACTGGTAGAAATAAAGATTTTTATTATATATTGTTATTATTATTATTCATTTCACTTTCATTTATCTATATGTTAATAGTTAATTTTTTTATAGTTCTTTAGCTCTTTTGTGATTTACGTATATTTAATTATTGCAGAAGCCATACCACAAGCAACTGAATATCAAACAACAGCAGATGTTCAAGGTGTTGCACACCCTAGGGAAGCGACTTGCTCAAGTTCAAGCACCAATTGAAAGGACCACGAAGGGTCTTCCCTGTCCTCTAGAGTCACCCAGACCATCAGTGAGTATGATCGATCATGTTAAGTAAAAGGAGACAAGTGCAAGAATTATCAGAGCAGTAGACCCCACCATTACATATTATAGTTGCCACAAGAGAAGAAGTAGAAATAGAAATAGTAGTAGTATTAGCAGCAGTAGTAGTAGCAGTAGTAGTAGTAGTACTATAGTAATAGTGGTAGTAGTAGTAGTAGTAGTAGCAGTAGTAGTAGCAATAGTAGTAGCAGTAGTAGTAGTAGTGGTAGTAGTAGCAGCAGTAGTAGTAGCAGTACTAGTAATAGTAGTAGCAGTATTAGTAATAGCAGTATTAGTAGTAGTAGTAGTGCTACTACTACCACAAGTACCACCTACAACAATTATACTGTATTAGGCTTTGCGCCTTTGTACCTATATACGTATACCTCTGTGTCCATGTATTGTGTCACAGCTTGACAAAACTGTGACACACAATACTTAGCATATTGTTCGTAATTCTCCCAACATTATTATGAGATCAATCTGGACTATTTGAAGAATCTCTTTAAGGACACTGTTCCTTGATGCTGGTGATGGACTCTTGATCCAAGGAATTGCAGATGCCCTCCCCTACCTTGAATCAAAACTGTTTCAAAGATTCTGTGCGGTTTCAAGTATTTTCTGACAAACATCAATTTTTAGCTAAAATACGCATTGATGCTAATAAAAAATTAATATAATTTTCCATACCCATGAAATGTGTCTCCTATTCTCCAGGTGCTATAGGCCTAATTTATCATAAAAATAATAATTATAATTTAGGCTGAGAAAAAATTCTTACTTAATACAGTTAATGTCAACTGTACTGTTGTGTGTACATTTTTTCGTAGCCTGACGTGATATCCTATCGTAACAAAGATGAACTTGGGATTCGATCAGGTGTAGATGGCAACCCCAAGACTGTCGGATTTTTCATCGGACGACCAACGGATCCCCTAATGGTGTCTGTCCCTCCTACCTACCTCATTAATATGAGAGACAGTCATAAGCATATTGTCAAGGTAATAATAACAATAATACAGGTCGGCCGTCACTAATCCGGCAATCAGTTATCTGGTTCCATCAGTAATCCGGCACTAATTTTGGCTAGCATAATTTCAAATTTCATCATTATACTGACTCAGAAAAACCCATACCACAGACGGGGATAGAACTCATGATCAGAGAGTCTGAAAACTCCAGACCGTCGTGTTAGCCACTGGACCAGCTAGCCACAATAAGATTCATCCAGTGGCTAATGTGACAGTCTGGAGTTTTCAGACTCTCTGATCGTGGGTTCTATCCCTGTCCGTGGTATGGTTTGTTTGCAATCGTGTCATTACGATTTCGTGAGTCATACTGACTCAGAAATTGTGCAGATGGTTGTAAATCCACAGCAGCAAGCCAGTGGAAGAGAAAGCAGTGATGAAAATGAGGAAGATGTAGCAGAAAGAGTTTCTATTGATAGGTTAATTAAGTGTATTCTAACCTAACCACTCTGTAATCCAGAAAACTCACTAATCCGGCACACTACAGGTCCCAATGATGCCAGATTAGTGATGGCCGACCTGTAGTACAATCAACTCTTACAATGCCCTTTTATATAGTGCAATTTTTTTGTAAATACGATTGAAAAAATTACATCCAAAATTTAAAAATAGCATATGGTAAGGTATTCTTAGTACACACTGTTCAGTTTTCAGTAAATTTTTAAGTCATATTTGTGAAAAATTTCATTATGTAGAGATTTATAAAAGAGCCAACTGTATATTAGTGCTTAGTTTTGTATTTATTGCACTTTATTTTCTATACCGATACAGTAGTAATTTATTTTTGATTGATTTCCAGAGCTTCCAAAATTTTATTCGAGAATCTGACCATAGAGCATGTCATCACTTTGATGATGGCGGGATTTGGCGAAATTTGGTGGTTCGGTCAACTCAGTCTGGAGAAAAAATGGCCATCGTCTTGATCCATCCCCAGCAATTACCAGAGGATGGAATACATGAAATTATGGATGAATTGAAGCGATTCTTTACCGAAGGTGAAGGGTCATCCTGTCAGCTTGACTCTCTGTACCTCCAAGCATGGTAACTATTTGTTTTTATTAACACATTGACCTTTACCTTCCAAGGAGGGGGGGGGGACCCAAAAAAGAAGAAACACTTTCATCATCATTCACTCCATCACTGTCTTACCAGAGGTGCCTGTACACTGCTTAAAAAATTAATATCTTGAATTTAGATTCAAATTTTTATGTATTTTTGTGCAGTAAAAATACAGGCTCCTCGATTTAGGATGGTTCAACTTACAATATTTTAACTATTTGATGGAGCACAAGCAATTACTTTGGAGATGTAACTTAAGATAATTACCCAGAATGAAGGCAGCAATTCCGTAATTTGTATTAATTTATTTACTTTTCAGTGCTGGTATTTAGTTACAGTAATTATTTATTATTTATTTATTCAGTAGCAGTAGCTATTTATTTACATATTTATCATATACACCTACCATCCGACTTATGACCTGCTCGACTTACGACCACTCGACTTACGACCGTGTTTTTTATGCCAAATTTCTGGGAAATAAACAAGTATTTGTGTTGTACACAGTGTTTATCCTAAACCTTACAGTATAAAATACAATACTAACAACATAAAAAGTAAAGTAAAACATGAAATACCAAAATAAAACAATAAAATAAAGTCATTACAAAAATGTTTGGTTGATATTCAGTAGTAAAGTTCGACTTACGACCATTTCGACTTACAACCAGTTTCTCGGAACCGAACTCGGTCGTAAGTCGGATGGTAGGTGTATTTGACTTAGGATATTTTCTACTTACGGTGAGTTTGTCGGAACCTAACCCCATTGTAAGCCGAGGAGCAACTGTAACACTATATTTCGGACTGACTTAAACTCAAGATGCAATAACATCATAGTAAGCAGGTGATATTACGATATGGAGAACAACTACTGTGAAAAATAGTGAAGGTCCAAACACTTTAGTGATTTTTCACATTTCCTTCATAATGTGAGAAATCACAAAAGTGCTTGAAATTTCACTATTTTTCATAGTGGGTATTCTGCGTAAACTCAAGATGTTTGAGCCAAGGTATTACTACTGTACTGTATTTAAAGTTTATCTGTGAATTTCTTATTACAATAAGAGGATACTCTTGCAATTTTCATAATTAATATTAAAGAATATATAGGAGGGACCTACATACCCAGCACCTATTTTCAGTGTTCTACATTTTCATTGGCTTTCAACTGAGCCATTGTTCCACTTGCTGACAGTCACCAGCAGGTGGAACATGATGAACAATGGCTCAGTTTGAAGCTAACGAAAATGTAGAAGACTGAAAGAGGGCGCTGTATATGCGTGGCTCATCTTGATTACAGTAAGCAGACAAAGTGTACCAGAGAGCAGGCACCGTACAGGTTAATAGCGGGAAAGAAGCATATTACTGAAACCTGTTGCGGCTTGGATTTTCGAATATCACCAGATTCGTTTTTTCAGGTAAGTTGAGGTGGCAAGTTTATTTTACAGTCAGTTTTGTTATAAAGCTCTCATATAAAGCTGCTCTATATACAGTCAGCTCTCTTATAAAGCTGCTCTGTATAGAGCCATTTTTTGTAAATGCAATTGAAAAAGTGCATCAGAAATTAAATGGCACATTAAAAGGCCTTTGTAGTCATGCTTTTGAATTTTTGATGGCCTTTTTCTGTTGCCTTTGGAAAAATTGCTCTATATATAGAATACAGTGGACCCCCAGTTTACGATCAGCTCCCAATGCGACCAATTATGTAAGTGTATTTATGTAAGTGCGTTTGTATGTGTATGTTTGGGGGTCTGAAATGGACTAATCTAATTCACAATATTCCTTATGGGAACAAATTCGGTCAGTACTGGCACCTGAACATACTTCTGGAATGAAATAATATCGTAAACCGGGGGTCCACTGTACCTTTATAAGAGAACTTACTGATAATGGATATATCATTGGTAGTGCACTCAGCTCACACACGAAGGTCTGTGGTTCGATCCCCAGTACAGTTGGAAACATTACATAAGAACATAAGAATGTAGGAACACTGCAGAAGGCCTACTGGCCCATACGAGGCAGGTCCTTATCAAAACGACATCTACCTAAAGCTGTGATAAGAACATAAGATGTGTTTCCTTAAGACACCTGCTGACACTGTTCACCTAGCAGTAAGTAGGTACCTGGGTGTTAGTCACCTTACACCTGCTATCACTGTTCTCCTAGCAATAAGTAGGTACATGGGTGTTAGTAGACTGGTGTGGGTCACATCCTGGAGGACAAAATTTACCTAATTTTCCCGAAATACTCAACATAACCAAGGATTTTCTATATAGTATGCCACTGATGTTAGCTATGGTTTGTACACTTTCCACATGTACTTCTAGAATTTTTTTTTTTTTATTAGCACACTGGCTGATTCCCACCAAGGCAGGGTGGCCCGAAAAAGAAAAACTTTCACCATCATTCACTCCATCACTGTCTTGCCAGAAGGGTGCTTTACACTACAGTTTTTAAACTGCAACATTAACACCACTCCTTCAGAGTGCAGGCACTGTACTTCCCATCTCCAGGACTCAAGTCCGGCCTGCCGGTTTCCCTGAATCCCTTCATAAATGTTACTTTGCTCACACTTCAACAGCACCTCAAGTATTAAAAACCATTTGTCTCCATTCACTCCTATCAAACACGCTCACGCATGCCTGCTGGAAGTCCAAGCCCCTCGCACACAAAACCTCCTTTACCCCCTCCCTCCAACCTTTCCTAGGCCGACCCCTACCCCGCCTTCCTTCCACTACAGACTGATACACTCTTGAAGTCATTCTGTTTTGCTCCATTCTCTCTACATGTCCGAACCACCTCAACAACCCTTCCTCAGTCCTCTGGACAACAGTTTTGGCAATCCCGCACCTCCTCCTAACTTCCAAACTACGAATTCTCTGCATTATATTCACACCACACATTGCCCTCAGACATGACATCTCCACTGCCTCCAGCCTTCTCCTCGCTGCAACGTTCATCACCCATGCTTCACACCTATATAAGAGCGTTGGTAAAACTATACTCTCATACATTCCCCTCTTTGCCTCCAAGGACAAAGTTCTTTGTCTCCACAGACTCCTAAGTGCACCGCTCACCCTTTTCCCCTCATCAGTTCTATGATTCACCTCATCTTTCATAGACCCGTCTGCTGACACGTCCACTCCCAAATATCTGAATACATTCACCTCCTCCATACTCTCCCCCTCCAATCTGATATCCAATCTTTCATCACCTAATCTTTTTGTTATCCTCATAACCTTACTCTTTCCTGTATTCACTTTTAATTTTCTTCTTTTACATACCCTACCAAATTCATCCACCAACCTCTGCAACTTCTCTTCAGAATCTCCCAAGAGCACAGTGTCATCAGTAAAGAGCAACTGTGACTAACTCCCACTTTATGTGTGATTCTTTATCTTTTAACTCCACGCCTCTTGCCAAGACCCTCGCATTTACTTCTCTTACAACCCCATCTATAAATATATTAAGCAACCACGGTGACATCACACATCCTTGTCTAAGGTCTACTTTTACTGGGAAATAATCTCCCTCTTTCCTACATACTCTAACTTGAGCCTCACTATCCTCGTAAAAACTCTTCACTGCTTTCAGTAACCTACCTCTTACACCATACACCTGCAACATCTGCCACATTGCCCCCCTATCCACCCTGTCATATGCCTTTTCCAAATCCATAAATGCCACAAAATCCTCTTTTGCCTGATCTAAATACCGTTCACTTATATGTTTCACTGTAAACACCTGGTCTACACACCCCCTACCTTTCCTAAAGCCTCCTTGTTCATCTGCTATCCTATTCTCCGTCTTACTCTTAATTCTTTCAATAATAACTCTACCATACACTTTACCAGGTATACTCAACAGACTTATCCCCCTATAATTTTTGCACTCTCTTTTATCCCCTTTGCCTTTATACAAAGGAACTATGCATGCTCTCTGCCAATCCCTAGGTACCTTACCCTCTTCCATACATTTATTAAATAATTGCACCAACCACTCCAAAACTATATCCCCACCTGCTTTTAACATTTCTATCTTTATCCCATCAATCCCAGCTGCCTTACCCCCTTTCATTTTACCTACTGCCTCACGAACTTTCCCCACACTCACAACTGACTCTTCCTCACTCCTACAAGATGTTGTTCCTCCTTGCCCTATACATGAAATCACAGCTTCCCTATCTTCATAACCATTTAACAATTCCTCAAAATATTCCCTCCATCTTCCCAATACCTCTAACTCTCCATTTAATAACTCTCCTCTCCTATTTTTAACTGACAAATCCATTTGTTCTCTTGGCTTCCTTAACTTGTTAATCTCACTCCAAAACTTATTCTTATTTTCAACAAAATTTGTTGATAACATCTCACCCACTCTCTCACTTGCTCTCTTTTTACATTGCTTCACCACTCTCTTAACCTCTCTCTTTTTCTCCGTATACTCTTCCCTCCTTGCATCACTTCTACTTTGTAAAAACTTCTCATATGCTAACTTTTTCTCCCTTACTACTCTCTTTACATCATCATTCCACCAATCGCTCCTCTTCCCTCCCACACCCACTTTCCTGTAACCACAAGCTTCTGCTAAACACTCTAACACTACATTTTTAAACCTACCCCATACCTCTTCGACCCCATTGCCTATGCCCTCATTAGCCCATCTGTCCTCCAATAGCTGTTTATTTCTTACTTTAACTGCTTCCTCTTTTAGTTTATAAACCTTCACCTCTCTCTTCCCTGATACTTCTATTCTCCTTGTATCAGATCTACCTTTTACTCTCAGTGTAGCTACAACTAAAAAGTGATCTGATATGTCTGTGGCCCCTCTATAAACATGTACATCCTGAAGTCTACTCAACAGTCTTTTATCTACTAATACATAATCCAACAAACTACTGTCATTTTGCCCTACTTAATATCTTGTATACTTGTTTACCCTCATTTTCTTAAAATATGTATTACCTATAACTAAACCCCTTTCTATACAAAGTTCAATCAAAGGGCTCCCATTATCATTTACACCTGGCACCCCAAACTTACCTACCACACTCTCTCACTTGGTTTAAAGGTTCCTATACATTCACTTAACATCTCCCAAAATCTCTCTCTCCTCTACATTCCTCTCTTCTCCAGGTGCATACACGCTTATTATGACCCACTTTTCGCATCCAACCTTTACTTTAATCCACATAATCCTTGAATTTACACATTCATATTCTCTTTTCTCCTTCCATAACTGATCCTTCAACATTACTGCTACCCCTTCCTTAGCTCTAACTCTCTCAGATACTCCAGATTTAATCCCATTTATTTCCCCCCACCGAAACTCCCCTACCCCCTTCAGGTTTGTTTCGCTTAGGGCCAGGACATCCAACTTCTTTTCATTCATAACATCAGCAACCATCTGTTTCTTGTCATCCGCACTACATCCACGCACATTCAAGCATCCTAGTTTTATAAAGTTTTTCTTCTCTTTTTTAGTAAATGTTTACAGGAGAAGGAGTTACTAGCCCATTGCTCCCGGCAATGATTATTATTGTTAATATTATTATAGATTTATTTGTTGTTTCTTAGCGGTATTAGTAAAGATGTTCCAATGACTCATAATTCTCAATTTCCATTTTGGGGTGCCTAGCAACCTTATGGCTTGCTCAAATTTGGAGGCACTTGTGAGGGATCTTTCCTGTGATGTGTTTGTTTTAGCTCAACAACTTTTCTCTTCGAGAAGGTGTACAGCTAGGTTATGGGGAAATGACAGGTTAATTACTTGACTTGATTTGAGCCCTGAAGATGGGATGTTCAGTGCTTGTCTAATGACCCTAATGGGGTTATCCTGGTGTATAGTTTACACTTATGTTAATGTGTAAAATAATTGTACTTGTGTGTACCTCTACCTCAATAAACTTATTAAAAGAGGAGTGAATGGATGATGGAGTGTGGAGGAGTCATGTCTACTGTGTTTATTAACACTCTTCTGGCAAAATATTGAGTGAATGATGGTAAATGCATTTTTTTTTTTTTTAGGGTCTTCCTACCTCAGTTTAAGATGGGCAGAATTCTTCTTCCATAAGCAATGTGTGTTGTAAGAGGCAGCAAGGTGCTAGAAACACTGCTTGTAAGAATTACTAAATCCTGGCAGCAAAGGGCTAATAACCCCCTTCTGTATAAATTACTAAATGCTGGTAGCAAGGGGCTAGTAACCCCTTCTCCAGTATAAATTACTAAATGCTGGTAGCAAGGGGCTAGTAACCCCTTCTCCTGTATAAATTACTAAATGCTGGTAGCAAGGGGCTAGTAACCCCTTCTCCTGCATAAATTACTAAATTTAAGAAGAAAAACTTTTGTTTTTCTTTTTAGGTCACCCTGCCTCAGTGGGATATAGCTGGTGTGAAAAAAAAAATAATGTCTGGCAGCTGATGGAGATTTTGGCCTAGTGATTTGTATTTTAAATCAGTTTGTTAGAGCCAGTGTGAATGTTTTACTTATGTAGAATGTTGAAATACTACAAATAATAATTCAGAAGCAACTTAATAGTATAGTGGAACCTTAGTACTCAAACTTAATTCATTTCAGAAGGCTGAGTGCTGATCTGTTCGATTACCGAACGATTTTTTCCCAACCAATATTCTTTTTGGTTGGCTATCACTAAGCTTCATAGGCCCCACGGTGACTTATTTATACAAATAATATAAAAGAAAAAACACCAAAGAAAGCGAAGGTCGTGTTTGTTTTGTCGAGTGCCAAGCAAACTGTTGACTACCGAGCAATTATTTTACCGAACAGAGTTCGAATACCGAATTGTTCGAGTAGGGAGCTGTTCAAGTACTTAGGTTCCACTGTATTTGAACCTAAGAAATATTTAAACTGTTATGAATCTAGTCTTATGCTGATTGTACCAAAATTGTTGAAAGGTGAATATAACAGTTGTTTATAATTGTATAAACTCAAACTTGCAGATTAACACTGGAGGAGCTGAGGTGTTGTATAGAACTGTACAAGAGATAGCGGAGGTGTCACCAATCACTACACTCCTTGACATTTGTTGTGGAACAGGTGAGTAATACATCTCTGGACACCTCTACTCTACACTTGTAAATGTCAGATAATAGAGAAATTCATATAATATGTTAACTTGTTAACAGGTGCTGATGTTGACATATTTATGCATTTTACTCTCATATTTATGGTAGTTGCCAGGAACAAGGGGGTAGTAACTCCTTCTGTATAAATTACTAAGTGTAAAACAAAGCTAAACTTTTTCAATTTTCTTCTATTTTGGGTCACCCTGCCTTGCTGGGAGACGCTTATGTACTGAAAAAATTATGATTGTTGTTTTGGGTAGAATATTTCAATATTCTCTTCTTTGTTGTGTCACTCTATCTTGGTTGAAGACAGCCAAAGTTTTAAACATGCATACATAGTATTTCTCACTAGGAAAACTTTTTCTGTATATCTTTTCATACCCATGATTCCTTATTTTTAGCACATCAGTCATTTCCCACTGAGGTAGGGGTGACCCATTACGTGTCTCTCAATCAGTCGCTGTTTTGCCAGAAGTGTGCTGATGTCACAGTTTAGGTGACCCTCTGAACTGTAACATCCCTACCCATCCTTCAGAGTGCATGCACTGTACCTCCCATTTCCAGAACTGTAACATCCTCACCCATCCTTTAGAGTGCAGGTACTGTACTTCCTACCTCCCGCACTGTAACATACTCACCCATCCTTCAGAGTGCAGGTACTGTACTTCCCACCTCCAGCACTGTAACATCCTTACCTATCCTTCGGTTGCAGGCACTGTACTTCCTACCTCCAGCACTGTAACATCCTCACCCATCCTTCAGAGTGCAGGTACTGTACTTCCCACCTCCAGCACTGTAACATCCTCACCCATCCTTCAGAGTGCAGGCACTGTAACCTACTCACCTCCTTAGATGTCATCTGTACTTCCCACCTCCCACAGCACTGTAACATCCTCACCCATCCTTCAGAGTGCAGGCACTGTACTTCCTACCTCCAGCACTGTAACATCCTCACCCATCCTTCAGAGTGCAGGCACTGTACTTCCCACCTCCAGCATTGTAACATCCTCACCCATCCTTCAGAGTGCAGGCACTGTACTTCCCACCTCCAGCAATGTAACATCCTCACCCATCCTTCAGAGTGCAGGCACTGTAACATCCTCACTCATCCTTCAGAGTGCAGGTATTGTACTTCCACTTCAGCACGTAATTCCACCCATCCTTCAAGGCAGGCACTGTATTCAACTCTTATTCACAATAAGTGGTTAGGAACATTTATATCATATATGACAAGTTAACTGTCAACAGTGCACTGTAAGTCTAGCATGCTCCACATTGTCGAACACCTTGCATACCGGAATAACGCCTGCAAAAGGTGTGAGAAGTGGGCAAATAATTTCAACTAACTTCATACAGTAAAGTTGAAAAGGTATTGAGATGAAGAATGTGTAATGTACTCTTGTCATATTATGTTGTGGCCTTTGCTATTGAATGAAATGAAGGTGTGTATATTTCCTTTTTATGGGTTGGCCTTTGTGTTTTAAAACAAAATAAAGAAAGGCGTTTATTAGTGTGTGTTTTATCACAGGTGTTAGTGTATGTTTTATTACAGGTGTTATTAATGTGTTTTATTACAGGTGTTATTAATGTGTTTTTTTACAGGTGTTAGTGTATATTTTATTACAGGTGTTATTAATGTATTCTTTATTACAGGTGCTGCCGCAGTTAAGTCGATTGCTGAGAGAATGTTCAGATGTTGTTGCCGTCGTCAATCCTGCGCGGTCAGGCCTTCGTAAGTACCTTTACAATACTGTACTCACACTCTTCAAGGGGAGTGCTTTGGTGCTGGTAAATTATTATTATTACAATCAGAACTAAGCACTAAACCCACCAGGGTCATACAGAACTGCATGGTAGGATGTGCTAAAGGTGTACTGATGCAGGTAAAGGGTTCTCGATTCAAGGAATTAGAACTGTCTTCACTTCTTGCTTCATACCTGATCACCATCCATTTCCCAGGTTCTGTACGACTCTGTTTTACCACTTCTCCATGTATATTACTAAGAATTGTTATTATTATTATTATTATTATTATTATTATTGCAGTACTTTAGCACTTAATTTTGATTATAATAGTGATATAATAGTGCTTTTTGCATTTTCAAACTACCAGTAATTGGAAAGAAACAAGGCGGTGAAAAGCAGATACAGTATAAGTAAACAGAAAGGGAATGTAATGGAGATGCCAAAAATGTGTCAGATGATGATTCTCATCAAAACTTACAGCTAATTTTTGTATTTTCCATCTCCCTCAGACCCGGATGTTATCCATACCATTCGTCAGAGCACAGCCATTAGCAAGTTGATCTACATAAGTTGCAAGCCAGAAGGATATGCCATGGAAAACTTTGTAAAGCTTGGGTCGACTTTGGGTCCGAAGAATATGAAAGACAAGTCTGCTCCGTTTGTTCCAAGATATGCCATACCTGTGGATCTGTTCCCGCACACCAATCACATGGAGCTGGTCATTTTATTTGACAGAGTCACCAACTGAGCAGTTTCTAGGTAGAATATGCAGTATTAAAAATTTAAGAGACATTTTCGTTTTAAAAATATTTGAAATATGTAACGTAAAATTATCAGCTCCATTGTTCTTACAAAAGCATTGTGTATTTACGCAATATTTCTGTTTATACAGTTGGACCCTGTAAGTTACAGTTATTGTAGTTTTGGTCAAGACTCACCTATGAGTGCTCCTCACAGGGGTGCCTTGATGCTAGCAAAGGGCTCTTGATCCAGGGTATTAGACCTGTTCTCTCCTTCATTGGATTGAACCTAATTGCCTCCCATTTCTGTAAGTGCTGGTCTATGCTTCCCCACAAACACTTAGGGGAAGAGTGCTAGACCCATAGGGGGGTCATACAGTACCTAAGGGATGGGAAGCAATTGTGTTTGATCCAAGAAAGGGGAGGCCAAGTCTAATTACTGTACTTGGATCAAGAACCCCTCCAGCATCAAGGAACCTCCCTCAAGGATCAGGTATATAATAATACAGCACAAGTTTTGAGGACATAAGAAACTATATTTCATGTAAATTTATTTTCCTGGTGATTAGCAATACTACATCATACATAGTTATTATATCATAGTTACTTTCTACGACTCTATGAAGGTATGAGGTATAGTGATAAACATGTATGGATGACACCACATGTGTATAAACTTCAGACATTTTTTATTGGATATTTTTCAGTGGCAGGACCTTGGGCACTTCAAATAATACAAGAGAGTGAGAGAACAATACATATAGTAGAGTATGCATGTCATGGGTAATGGTGTGAGGTTATTGGATTGCTGCATCACCTGGAGCTGTGTCAGAATTGTGACATATTTACCAGTCTCTTGTTCTGTGGTGTTGGTAGCAGCAGTTAAGTATGCTTCATTGTAGTGGTGTTTACCATTGTTGCATTCTCTGTATATCATTTCTGTATTGTTGCATTGCACGAGTCCTCCCTCTCTACACCTGTGCATGATGCGAGTGTTGCTGGCGTCATCCTGGTGACACATGTATTCTTGGATCCATGTGGAAAGATTCCTAGTTCTCTTGAACGGATCTTGCTCTATCCCCTACATGTTGCAGCACACCTGTGCTTCACCATCAAGTCTTGGGGATCATTCTTCCTGGCAGGGTCTCTCATGGAAGACATGATCATGGCAGCTTCTAGTAAGGTTTTCCATGATGTTGTTGGCCATTTCTCCACATAGAATCTACAAACTGGGTTTGTCGGTAATAGTGCTGAGTCTTAGCTGTTTGCAAGCCTGTATGGTATAGGGATGATAGTGTATGTATGTGAAGGCATGCATAATATACTAGAACTATTATTATTCAAAAAATTCAGTCCTGGAGGTATGGGTAGCATCATGAAAAACCCAAAGATCATACCTCTTTTGGTGTGAGTTCAGGTGAGAGTAGAAATGAGTGAAGGTATACTTATTTCTAAGTTTTCTGTAAACTATGAAAGTGTTACTTATTAGGTGGCCTGCATTGAAGGACATCAAGAAATGGTAGTTTGCCAGTTTTCTTGTTCACGAGTGAATTTGCGAGTTTCAATGCTGTTAATTTTATGAAGACAGTCTTGTACAATGTCTTGGGATATATGACCACAATGTTATAGACATATCTGAACTATGAGACTTCTAGGAATGATATTGCAAAGGCTTTCAGTCTCCAACTTTTCCAGAGAGAAGTTGGTCAGGACTATGTTAAGCAGACCTGCTTGAAAAATTAACACATAGCTTGATGAAGGCTATGAAGTTATGTCATTCATTAGTCTACATTTGAGTACATCAATGATGGGATTTGTGAGAGTGATTGTGAAGGGCAAGATAACATTAATTGGTTATGTGTTTATTCTTTATGATTTTAGTGCAAGCAAAGTGGTCTCCAGAGTATTCAAGATGACCATGACTTGCAGTATTTATCATGTTGGATAAACTTTTGACTGAGTGTCCTGCTAGTCTGTGTGGGGCACTTCCAATACATCATGTGATAGGACAGATTGGAATCTAAACTTATAAACCAATCACAGGGCAACATCTGGATAAATACACCAAGATCTTACAAAAAACATATGCTTCGTAGTTTTGAGGAAGGCAAGGCCTTATGCGGGAACAACTTAGACCAGCCCGATTGTATGGACTATGAAAAACATTCAGACTATTGATTTTTATTCATCCTCTCCCATTAGGTGTCAGAAATGCCTCCCATTAGGTGTCAGAAATGCCCCCCACACAGACTAGCAGGATGCCTAGCCGGATAGCATTGAATAATATATGTTTATTCTTAAATGCTCTCACTAATGCTATCACTGACAAACTTAGGCTTACAGTTGACACCAGTTTGCCTCCTCACCATGACTGAGTGAATTTCAACTACTTTAGATATGAAAATCAAATTTTCAAGCAGTTCTTTGACTTAATTGTGGGAAACCACAGAGTGCCATTCTGGGCAACATTTTTGAGGGAACCTGGAGGCTAAAGGCTTTTGCAGTATCAGTCCTGTCACACAGCTTAGATATGTCAACATCCTGATCATATATCCTAAAAGACTTAATATACGAGACCTTCACAAGATCAATAACTTCAAAACTATCAAACTCATTCTTGAACTAGGTTAGCTAAAAAGCACTGCCATTTGTTGATGTCTTTCTATGTTCTGTCTTCCAGGGTCTACAGGAAGCCCACACATGATTTTACTCATTGCTACTCATGCTGAAAGAAGAGTGACCAATAGGTTTTCCATAGGAGCTATCTGTATCTCCAGTCCTAAATTCTTAGGAGAATTTCAGTACATTATCCATGCCTTCACACACACTTTCCTCCCTACTTTATACAAGACTGGAAATGCAGCAGTAAAACTATGCTTGACAACACCTCTGAGAATTATTATTATATTCATAACTAAGCACTAAACTCACAAAGGTCATACAGCACTGCCCCTCTATGAGAAACCCAGATTTTTATTCTATCTGGAGGAGAAGTGGCCAACAGCAATGCACACAGGCCTTTTCTAGAAGCAACATCTAGCATAGCTGCCATAGCCATGTCTTGCATCATAGACCTCACCAGGAAGAAAGATAAGTAAGTTACACCCAACAGTGAAGCAGGAATGAACACCACACCAAGCAGAGGTTACAACAAGATCTATAGGAGAGAACAGGAGAGGATTCTGTCCCCATGGATCCAAGAACACAAATATGCATGTAGTCAGGATAACACCAGTAATGCTTGTCATACACACAACTAAAAAGGGACACATTATGCCCTGAAACAAATTAGGAATGATCTACAGAGGCTCTGACAAGGGTAGGTGTCATTGTATTGAAACATCCTCAGTCTACTTCCAACACCATAGACCAAAGGGCTGGTAAATACATTATCTCAGCTATTCTTGTACTTATGTTATTGTTCCAGTATTTTCCAGCTGCCAGGTGACACAGCAATTAGATAACCTAACACCTTCACCTGACCATCACCCAGGACTTGCATGCTCCACTACATATACACTCTTATATCATTCTCTTGTATCATTTGGAGTGACCGGGGTCCCAGGAACTAATCATATCCAATAAATAAGTCCTGAGTGTGACCACTTGTGTCCTTCCATCTATACACATCTATGCTAATGCCTATAATACTGTGTAATGCATAAAAATAATTTTTGTCTTACTCCAGCAATTCATGAATATGTATGACTGTCCACCCTATTTTTTAAATAATTGAAATAAAGCAATACTGACTAGAAAACATGTTACCATTATTGATCCTTTCCACTTGTTCTTTATCCAAAATAACAGCTTATAACATTATTGTTGCTTAGCAGCTCTGGCATGGTTTATGCAACTTACTCAGAAGCCGACAAAGTGAATCAAAGACACAGAATAAATCTGTTACTCTCTCTCTAGTTGGAGGTTTTTTGAGTCTTACTGTACTATACAAAGTACAATACTATAATTGACATTAATTATTATTATAATCATAACCAAGCTGACATTAAGTGAAAAGCTTAAAATGTTTGCCTCTTTGATTCACATTTCTGTTTATTTTGTAAGTAACTTGAATGAGCACATCCAACTTTTCAGGACGTCATTGGTTGAAGGTGCAGGTGTAGTACAGGTGATCGTGGTCCACAAGTGCAGTGCTGACGTCTACTTCCTCCGGCTGATGCCAAACCGGAAACCTTTGGTGTGGCTGGAGAGGCCACGGTCACTGGCGATAGTTTTTAGGAACTGGAGCAGTTCTCCGGCTCTGACTTGCTGACCCACCTCATCATCACTGTCCTCCTCAGACACCACCTCTTCCTCTGCAGGATTCTGGTACTTTAAGGATGGCTGGGCATTGGGTGCTGTTGAAGATGGGAAGAGTTACGAAATAGACTCAGGAAATTGTAATAGCACTACTGCACTACTGCACAAGTTACTGGTCCAGTGGCTTAGGCACTGGTCCAGTGGCTTAGGCACTGGTCCAGTGGCTTAGGCACTGGTCCAGTGGCTTAGGCACTGGTCCAGTGGCTTAGGCACTGGTCCAGTGGCTTAGGCACTGGTCCAGTGGCTTAGGCACTGGTCCAGTGGCTTAGGCACTGGTCCAGTGGCTTAGGCACTGGTCCGTGGCTTAGGCACTGGTCCAGTGACTTAGGCACTGGTCCAGTGACTTAGGCACTGGTCCAGTGACTTAGGCACTGGTCCAGTGACTTAGGCACTGGTCCAGTGGCTTAGGCACTGGTCCAGTGACTTAGGCACTGGTCCAGTGACTTAGGCACTGGCCTGGAGTTTCATCACTCACTTGCCATGGGTTCTAACACCACCCGTACCATGGTTTGTTTACGAAATAGTTCGTACACGTCAACTTTTTCTCAGAGTAGCTTACAGTGCCATTGCTATGCATGTTGAATTATTATTGTAATCAAAACTGAATGATAAAGCTACAAGGGTCATGCAGCACTGTGGATGCATATTATAGTGCCTTGATGCTGAGAAAGGGCTCTTGATAGAAAGGAGCTATATGCTATTTCCTCAGATCATTTGCAATTACCAACCATTTCCCCAGGTGTTGTATCACTTCTACAACGTTAGCTCTTCGCAGCGTGTAGAAAAAATTGGGACATAAAAGCAAGATGGGTGTTTTAGCATTCACTAAAATTTATATAAAAAACTATCATGTTTTGCTCTGTGTAGAGCATTATCAAGTTATGTTTCTCTCTGTGTAGTGATTTATCAATACATAACTTGTCTCTAATTGGGAGGCACTGCTTGCCTGTTACTCTCAGTGCCTCTCTCCCATCAAACTCGCCTGTTGGAAGCCTGTGCCCGGAGTGGTCAGAGATAGGCAGGTCGAGCAGTGCTGGGTGCCCAGAGGAGTACTGGGAGGTGCCAAGGGACAGTCCTCGGAACCTGGCCAGGGGGTGGAAGGGCTGGAATCTCTTACTACCACCTCCCACTGGTCCTGGAACCTGCTTGAAGTTGGGGTTCTGAAATAACAATTCAGTTTAGTTGCATGTTAATAGGTGATCCTCGAATTATGGTGGAGTTACGTTCTGACGAACCCACCATGTATTGAAAATGTGTAGTAAGTCCAATACGAATATCTTTTCTGGCATGTAATTAAGCGCTTACTTATGATTATAATAATAATTCCAGCATATAAGGTGCACAACACAAGTAACATAACGGTAAATCATTAATTATATTCAAGGATTAATTACCCTCTTACTTTATGCTAAAGTGTAACCCCAAGCCTACCCTTGACCCTGACCTTGAGCATACAAGGTGCATGCTGATTTTCCACGACTTTTTTGGGAAAAAGAGGCTTATCTTCTATACCAGAAGACAAAATACCATGACAGGAACAATACACAAATAACCCACACACAGGAGAAAAACTCTGACAATTTTTCAGTCCAGTTTGAACCATTAACTAGTCACACTAGTCAGACTGAAATGTCATCAGTAATTATTATTTTAAAAAATGAAGCACTAAATGTACAAGGGTCATACAGCACACACCATTAAGTTTCTTTCATATGTGTTTGTTATTTGTGAAATAAGGCCTCTCCTCACTTAGTGACATACTCATTTACCGACGCCTCAGACTTACGATGGGAAATTTGACCAGTATGCATACCTAAATAATGTATATTAGAGCTGATTTCCTCTATTCTGTTTATTACAGTATACAGTACACTACTGTACAGTGGACCCCCGCATAACGATTACCTCCGAATGCGACCAATTATTTAAGTGTATTTATGTGAGTGAGTTTGTACATGTATGTTTGGGGGTCTGAAATGGACTAATCTACTTCACAATATTTCTTATGGGAACAAATTCGGTCAGTACTGGCACCTGAACATACTTTTGGAGTGAAAAAATATCGTTAACCAGGGGTCCACTGTATAAACATTTAAAAATATACCAGAAATGTTATAAATGGTGCAAAAGTGACAGTAAAACAATATCAAAGATGGTTGACACAAACCCACTACCATTATAGTATGCTCCTCACTTAGTAACAAGTTTATTTACCGATGTGGTCACTGAATCCAGTAGTAGGTTGGTAGACAGCAACCACCCAGGGAGGTACTACCGTCCTGCCAAGTGAGTGTAAAACGAAGCCTGTGATTGTTTTACATGATGGTAGGATTGCTGATGTCTTTTGTCTGTCTCATAAATATGCAAGATTACAGGCATGTCTTGCTACTTCTACTTACACTTAGGTCACACTACACATACATGTACACATTTATTTATACACACTCATCTGAGTTTTCTTTGATTTTATCTTAATAGTTCTTGGTCTTTTTAAATTTTTCCCCTTTTATATCAGGGGGAAAAGTGGAATAAGAATCTTTCCTCCGTAAGCCATGCGTGTTGTAAAAGTCAACTAAAATGCCGGGAAAACATGGGCTAGTAACCCCTTTTCTGTAAAGATTACTAAAAAGAATAAGAAGAAGAAAATTGTCAAAGTGGGAAGTCTGAATGTGCGTGGATGTTGTGCAGATGATAAGAAAGAGATGATTGGGATGTTATGAATGAGAAGAAGCGGGAAATGTCCTGGCTTTAAGTGAAACAAAGCTGAAGGGGGGGGGAGAGTTTCGGGGAGGGGAATAAATGGATTAGGTCGGGGGTTTTCCCAAATAGAGTTGAGCTAAAGAAGGAGTAGCAATAATGTTGAAGGAATAAGCTATGGCAGGAAAAGAGGGACTATAAATGTATTAATTCAAGGATTATGTGGAGTAAAATAAAGATTGGATGTGAAAAGTGGGTATAAATAAGCGTGTATGCACCTGGAGAAGAGAGAAGTGTAGAGGAGAGAGAGAGATTTTGGGAAATGTTGAGTAAAATGCGGGGGGAAAGTTTTGAATCAAGTGTGAGAGTAATGGTGGTTGGGGGATTTTAATGCTAAAGTGGGTAAAAAATGTTATGGAGGGGAGTAGTAGGTAAATTTGGGGTGCCAGGGGTAAATGTAAATGGGGAGCCTTTAATTGAGCTATGTGTAGAAAGAAATTTGGTAATAAGTAATACATATTTTATGAAAAGAGGATAAATAAATATACAAGGTATGATGTAGCACGTAATGAAAGTATTTTTATTAGATTATGTATTGGTGGATAAAAGGTTGAGGGGTAGGCTCCAGGATGTACATGTTTTATAGAGGGGCAACTGATATATCGGATCATTATTTTGTTGTAGCTACAGTTAGAGTAAGAGGTAGATGGGAAAGAGGAAGGTGGCAACAACAAGTAAGAGGGAAGTGAAAGTGTATAAACTAAGGGAGGAGGAAGTTCGGGGGAGATAAAGCGACTATTGGCAGAAAGGTGGGCTAGTGCAAAGATGAGTAGTGGGGGGGTTGAAGAGGGTTGGAATAGTTTTAAAAATGCAGTATTAGAATGTGGGCAGAAGTTGTGGTTATAAGGAGGGTGGGGGCAGAGGAAAGAGGGTGATTGGGGGAATGATGAAGTAAAGGGTGTGATAAAAGAGGAAAAAGGTAGCTTATGAGAGGTTTTTAACAAAGCAGAAGTGTTTATAAGAAGAGCAGAGTATATGGAGAGTAAAAGAAAGGTAAAGAGAGTGGTGAGAGAGTGCAAAGAGAGCAGTGATAGGTGGGAGAGGCACTTCAAGAAAATTTTAATGAAAATAAGAAAAAATTTTGGGGTGATTAAACAAGTTAAGAAAGCTAGGGAAAAATTGGATTTGTCAGTTAAAAAACAGGAGTAGGGGAGTTAGTAGATGGGGAGATGGAGGTATTGGGTAGATGGCGAGAATATTTTGAGGAACTTTTAAATGTTAAGGAAGAAAGGGAGGCAGTAATTTCATGCACTGGTCAGGGAGGTATACCATCTTTTAGGAGTGAAGAAGAGCAGAATGTAAGTGTGGGGGAGGTACGTGAGGCATTACGTAAAAATGAAAGGGGGTAAAGCAGCGGGAAAACTGATGGGATCATGACAGAAATGTTAAAAGCAGGGGGGGATATAGTGTTGGAGTGGTTGGTACTTTTGTTTAATAAATGTATGAAAGAGGGGAAGGTACCTAGGGATTGGCAGAGAGCATGTATAGTCCCTTTATATAAAGGGAAAGGGGACAAAAGAGACTGTAAAAATTATAGAGGAAAAAGCTTACTGAGTATACCAGGAAAAGTGTACGGTAGGGTTATAATTGAAAGAATTAGAGGTAAGACAGAATGTAGGATTGCGGATGAGCAAGGAGGTTTTAGAGTGGGTAGGGGATGTGTAGATCAGGTGTTTACATTGAAGCATATATGTGAACAGTATTTAGATAAAGATAGGGAAGTTTTTATTGCATTTATGGATTTAGAAAAGGCATATGATAGAGTGGATAGAGGAGCAATGTGGCAGATGTTGCAAGTATATGGAATAGGTGGTAAGTTATTAAATGCTGTAAAGAGTTTTTATGAGGATAGTGAGGCTCAGGTTAGGGTGTGTAGAAGAGAGGGAGACTTCTTCCCGGTAAAAGTAGGTCTTAGACAGGGATGTGTAATGTCACCATGGTTGTTTAATATATTTATAGATGGGGTTGTAAAGGAAGTAAATGCTAGGGTGTTTGGGAGAGGGGTGGGATTAAATTATGGGGAATCAAATTCAAAATGGGAATTGACACAGTTACTTTTTGCTGATGATACTGTGCTTATGGGAGATTCTAAAGAAAAATTGCAAAGGTTAGTGGATGAGTTTGGGATGTGTGTAAAGGTAGAAAGTTGAAAGTGAACATAGAAAAGAGTAAGGTGATGAGGGTGTCAAATGATTTAGATAAAGAAAAATTGGATATCAAATTGGGGAGGAGGAGTATGGAAGAAGTGAATGTTTTCAGATACTTGGGAGTTGACGTGTCGGCGGATGGATTTATGAAGGATGAGGTTAATCATAGAATTGATGAGGGAAAAAAGGTGAGTGGTGCGTTGAGGTATATGTGGAGTCAAAAACGTTATCTATGGAGGCAAAGAAGGGAATGTATGAAAGTATAGTAGTACCAACACTCTTATATGGGTGTGAAGCTTGGGTGGTAAATGCAGCAGCGAGGAGACGGTTGGAGGCAGCGGAGATGTCCTGTTTAAGGGCAATGTGTGGTGTAAATATTATGCAGAAAATTCGGAGTGTGGAAATTAGGAGAAGGTGTGGAGTTAATAAAAGTATTAGTCAGAGGCAGAAGAGGGTTGTTGAGGTGGTTTGGTCATTTAGAGAGAATGGATCACAGTAGAATGACATGGAAAGCATATAAATCTATAGGGGAAGGAAGGCGGGGTAGGGGTCGTCCTCGAAAGGGTTGGAGAGAGGGGTAAAGGAGGTTTTGTGGGTAAGGGGCTTGGACTTCCAGCAAGCGTGCGTGAGCGTGTTAGATAGGAGTGAATGAGACGAATGGTACTTGGGACCTGACGATCTGTTGGAGTGTGAGCAGGGTAATATTTAGTGAAGGGATTCAGGGAAACCGGTTATTTTCATATAGTCGGACTTGAGCCCTGGAAATGGGAAGTACAATGCCTGCACTTTAAAGGAGGGGTTTGGGATATTGGCAGTTTGGAGGGATATGTTGTGTATCTTTATATGTTTATGCTTCTAGACTGTTGTATTCTGAGCACCTCTGCAAAAACAGTGATAATGTGCGAGTGTGGTGAAAGTGTTGAATGATGATGAAAGTATTTTCTTTTTGGGGATTTTCTTTCTTTTTTGGGTCACCCTGCCTCGGTGGGAGACGGCCGACTTGTTGAAAAAAAAAAAAAAAAAAAAAAAGTGGTCACTGAATAAGGAAATAAACAAATAATTACTGTAACTAACTCAGTATTGAAAGTAAATAAATGAATACAAGTTTATCCCATCAATAATTGTACAATACTGTACAGCATCGCTATAGCACCATTGTAAAGTCGAAATATTTTAAGTTAACCCATTGAACAGTGATGTAACTTGCTTTGCTATCAGAATTTCAGGGCCCAGTCCCAGGACCCGTTATGTGCCTTGGTAATACAGCCAGATCTCAATTAGTGCGAGTTCGAGTAGTGTAAATTTTGATTTAGTGCCAAATTAATTACTGCTAGTTGTTTTTTTTTGTCTCCAAACTCTTCAAATCATGTGCAAAAATTGCACATTTCAACAGTGCGAATTTGAATAATGCGATTACTTCAGGGGATCTGTTTTTCTCACTGAGACCTAGCTGTATTTTGACCACCAGTGCATAATATAGCAGTTAAACTAACATAAATGACAGGGTTAGAATACAGATTTTTACTCATTTGTATCAAGTAACTAATCACATATATAATTTTAACATGCTAGTTGTCAGTTGTTAGGTTCTGGGCTACTGCTGTAAAGTGAAAATCCCTTTTTCACTTTCAAATGCATATTAAAGTCAGATAAAATGTTTGCACTATCATATGTTAAGTGAGCAATAGAGCTAGGCCTAAAAAATACATGCACATATTACTAACTTTAAAATATTTTCATCCTTAGGTTATAGTGAGTGGTGAAAATGTTTATCGAAGGAAGTCTGAATAAATGAAGAATGGGTGTAATTGAAAACTGCTGCATTAGAGAAATGCTGTAAAACGAAGCACTGTAAAGTGGGGTCCTTTAGTAATTCTTAAAATAACACTACAGGACATCAGTGGAGATAATGCTATAAAATCCCTGCAAGATGGAAAGAGCAAACGCTTTATAAGCGATACTTTTAATGACAACATTTTGTCCACGCAGGCCTATAGTGGCCTTTGTCACACCCCACAGGATAGGTATAGGGGTGTGCAAAATAAAGATATTAAACAATTAGGCCAACCTTATAGACATATGCCTGGTACCAGCGAGGGTAGAGTCGCTTGTGCATGGAGGACGGGTTCCTCAGGGAGAGTGCCTGAGGCAGGAGTTCCGAGCCCACAGCTGCCCCTCCCTCCAGTGACTGCACCTCCTGCTGCTGCACCTCCTGCTGGACCTGCTGCTCCCCACCATGACTGCCTCTACCATACTTCCCTGATGGAAACCGTACATATACAGCATAAATAATGGAATAGAAAACTGCCAGGAAATATGACAAGTACAAAAGTAGGCATTAGACAGGGATGTGTAATGTCACCATGGCTGTTTAACTTACTTATAGATTGGGTTATAAAGTAAGTAAATGCTAGGGTGGTGGGGAGAGAGGTGGAAGTAAATTATGTGGAATTAAATTCAAAATGGGAGTTGATGCAGTTACTTTTTTGCTGATGACACTGTGCTTTTGGAAGATTCTGAAAAGAAGTTGTAAAAGTAACTGGACGAGTTTGGGAGGGTGTGTAAAGAAAGTTGAAAGTGAACATAAATAAGAGTAAGGTGATGAGGGTATCAAATGAGTTAGATAAGGAAAATTTGGATATCAGATTGGAGGGAGGGAGGGAATATGGAGGAAGTGAATGTGTTAAGATATTCGGGAGTTGACTTGTCAGCGGATGGGTTTATGAAGGATGAGGTTAACCATAGAATTAACGAAGGAAAAAAGGTGAGTGGTGCATTGAGCTATCTGTGGAGACCAAAAACGTTATCCATGGAGGCAAAGAAGGGAATGTACAAGAGTGTAGTGGTACCAACACTCTTATGTGGGTGTGAAACATGGGTTGTAAATGCTGCAGCAAGGAGGAGGCTGGAGGCAGTGGAGATGTCATGTCTAAGGGCAGTGTGTACTCATCTAATTGTGGTTGAAGGGGTTGAGTCGTAGCAGAGAATTTGTAGTGTGTAAATTAGGTGTGGAGTTATTAAAAGTATAATTCAGAGGGCTGAGGAGGGGTTGTTGAGGTGGTTTGGTCATTTAGAGGGGAAGGAGCAAAATAGGATCACTTTGAGGGTGTATAAATCTACGGTGGAAGGAAGGCAGGGTAGGGGTCATTCTTGAATTTTTTTTTTTTTTCAACAAACCGGCCATATCCCACCAAGGCAGGGTGGCCCAAAAAGAAAAACGAAAGTTTTTCTTTTTAAATTTAGTAATTTGTACAAGAGAAGGGGTTACTAGCCCCTTGCTCCCGGCATTTTAGTCGCCTCTTACAACACGCATGGCTTACGGAGGAAGAATTTTGTTCCACTTCCCCATGGAGATAAGAAATAAACAAGAACAAGCACTAGAAAGAAAATAAAAGAAAACCCAGAGGGGTGTGTATATATATATATGCTTGTATACATGTATGTGTAGTGTTATCTATGTGTAAGTAGTAGTAGCAAGACGTACCTGAAATCTTGCATGTTTATGAGACAGAAAAAAGACACCAGCAATCCTACCATCAAGTAAAACAATTACAGGTTTCTGTTTTACACTCACTTGGCTGGATGGTAGTACCTCCCTGGGTGGTTGCTGTCTACCAACCTACTATTAACCTGCTATTAATTTTAGGCAAGTTTTCTATTTTAGAAACTTGCTACAATATTATTTCCTCTGTCAGGATAAATGACTCCTGATCCAGGCCTTGACAAATGACTCCTGATTCAGGCAAAAAGTCACACACTCAGCCACTCGGGCTAAGCAACTGTTTGTGCAATAACTTACTTTTTTATTTTAAGCATCAGATTATGTAGGTTAGTTTTCATTTTTAAAAAACTTGCACGTTTACTCAACATTAGAGATGTTTGTACTATATGTTTTTAACTGTATAAATGAAAGTAAATTGGCTGTTTTCCATGTGAACAGTTGATGCATGCATTTTCACGTTACTACTGACTTGTGAAATCGTAATAACACGATTGCAAATAAACTGGTATGGGTGGGGTTACAACCCATAACAAACGAGTCTTAAAACTCCAGGCCAGTGCATAAGCCTCTGTTTCCCTGCTTGTATCACTAATGTTAAAATTTGATTAACCTGGCAATATACCATAGATACTACCTTTAATTTTTTTTTTTAAATTATGAGGATGATTTGTAACATGGGTATAAAATGGTTAACACTAAGTTATCATCGTTACAAATTCACAAAGGGCAGGGTAGGGGGAAAGATTACATTCCTAGAGGGTCCCATGAAACTGGAAACTGCAGCAAATACAAAATAACATTAAGGTTAATGTTGTGTTTCGGAGTCTATACTGTATTTAGGGATTTGATGAAATGGGCAAAGCTCACTAGTTTTGCTGTATGGAAAATGCCAAGCCTACATTGTGGGTTGGGGATGTGGTAAGTACACAGTCGACTACAATGTGTTGCCCATTAGGAAAAGCAGGTAGGAAGTGAATGTTGATGAATAAGTTCTTAGTAATTTATACGGGAGAAGGGGTTACTAGCCCCTTTCTCCCGGCATTTTAGTCACCTCTTACAACACGCATGGCTTACGGAGGAAGAATTCTGTTCCACTTCCCCATGGAGATAAGAGGAAATAAAAAAGAACAAGAACTAGAAAGAAAATAGAAGAAAACCCAGAGGGATGTGTATATATACATATATATGCTTGTATATGTATGTGTAGTGTGACCTAAGTGTAAGTAGAAGTAGCAAGGCATACCTGAAATCTTGCATGTTTATGAGACAGAAAAAAGGACACCAGCAATCCTACCATCATGTAAAGCAATTACAGGCTTTTATTTTACACTCACTTGACAGGACGGTAGTACCTCCCTGGGCGTTTGCTGTCTACCAACCTACTACCTAGATCTAGAAAAAATGGAGGGGATAAAAAAGTTATTTTGTGCAAGGATCATGAATATAGAGCAGGCATGTGTGAGCACTTTACATAGGAGTGAGCGAAGACGAATTAGCTTTGAGACGTGACGAGCTGTTGCAGTGTAGTAGGGCAATATTTTGTGAAGGGATTTGGGAAAACCACTTAGCCAGACTTAGTAATAATAATAAATAATCTTTATTTCTACAAGTACAAGGTATATAGAGCTTAGCTGACATCATTGTCATACTGATATATAGTAAACCCCCTTATTATGCAGAGCATATCAGGCAAATTAGGTCAATTTTGTCCCAGGATGCAACCCACACCAGTCCATTAACACACACATCCTATTTACTGCTAGGTGAATGTGGACAGCAGGTTTCTTAAACACGTCCTAATGTTTCCACCCGTACTGGGGATTGAATGATGGACCTGAGAGTGTGAGCTTAGTGTGTTACCAACCCAGCTACAGAACACCGTAACCCTAGAAGTGGAGAGTACAATGCCTGCACCTTAAAGGATGGATCTGAGATATTTGCTGTTTAGAGTGACATCTGAACTGTCATATCTCCATGCCGCTGCAAAGACAGTGATAGTGTGAGCAGTGGTAAAAATGTATCTTTTTTCGGGTCACCCTGCCTCAGTGGGAGACAGCCACCATGTACCCTCAATAGTAACAAGCTGTCCAGCGCCTTTAGCAGTAAAACTACCCCAAAACATCATCTTCGGTGGGTGTTTTGGCACTTATTGAATGTGTCCATTCTGAAGAGGTTCGCCTTTGTTCTGTCTCGCTACCACTGATCTGGACCCATGTACCTACTTCAAAATATGCCACATCTGAAAATACGTCTTTTCTCCATTCATCTGTCATCCATCCTTTATGATCGGGTGCCCACTGGAGACATTTTTTCTTCATAGCAGCAGTCGATAATTGTTTCTTTACCAGCTTTCAGGCAGTTCTGCCAGCTTCAAGGAGCCTTCATTCAACAGCTGAAGAATCAGCAAAATTTACTCTTGTCCCAATTACTTTGCACACTACATAAATTTTAAGCTAAGACAAGCCAGGATAACCTAAAATTGGCTAGAATAACTAGGATAACCCTGGATAATTCAAGGTATCCCAGGATAATATTGGATATGACAATTTCCAAAATAACATAGGTAGGATAAACCATTATATTCTCCTCTGGATTCTCTTTAAATCCTCCTTGTTCCTTTCATCCTCTGGGTCCTCCTTGATCCTCCTCTGAGTCCTTCTTGATCCTCCTCTGGGTCCTCTTTGATCCTCCTCTGGGTCCTCCTTGATCCTCCTCTGGGTCCTTCTTGATCCTCCTCTGGGTCCTTCTTGATCTTCCTCCGGGTCCTCTTTGATCCTCCTCTGGGTCCTCTTTGATCCTCCTCTGGGTTCTCCTTGATCCTCCTCTGGGTCCTCCTTGATCCTCCTCTGGGTCCTCCTTGATCCTCCTCTGGGTCCTCCTTGACCCTCCTCTGGGTCCTCTTTGATCCTCCTCTGGGACCTCATTGATCCTCCTCTGGATCCTCATTGATCCTCCTTGATCATCCTCTGGGTCCTCCTCAATCCTCCTCTGGGTCCTCCTTGATCCTCCTCTGGGTCCTCCTCAATCCTCCTCTGGGTCCTCCTTGATCCTCCTCTGGGTCCTCCTCAATCCTTCTCTGGGTCCTCATTGATCCTCCTCTGGATCCTCATTGATCATCCTCTGGGTCCTCCTCAATCCTCCTCTGGGTCCTCCTTGATCCTCCTCTGGGTCATCCTCAATCCTCCTCTGGGTCCTCCTTGATCCTCCTCTGGGTCCTCCTCAATCCTCCTCTGGGTCCTCATTGATCCTCCTCTGGATCCTCATTGATCCTCCTCTGGGTCCTCCTTGATCCTCCTCTGGGTCCTCCTCAATCCTCCTCTGGGTCCTCCTTGATCCTCCTCCTCAGAGAAGTAATGTCGCATATAATGGGACAACAATTACGCTGTATATTGGAGGAACGTTTTACTGTGATCGTTGGTGGAAAATACTCAGAGGAACAGATATACAGGGTGGATAGACTGATTTAGAGGCAGGAAACAGGTATGCAAGAGCAAAGGTGGAAGCTTAAAAAAACGGCATAGATGAAATCACAGGGATGTCAGGAAATACTTCTTTAACCTTAGGAAGTGGAATGCCTCGGTGGGGTGGTGGAGGCAGGATCCATACTCAGTTTTAAGAAGAGGTGTAATAAGGCTGTCTGTGCTAGGACCCCTCAAGGAAGGCTCCTTGACGCTGGTGAGGGGCTCTTGATCTAGGGAATTGGATCTGTGCTCCAGTTGGATCTGTGCTTCAGTTCCCTGAATTAAGCCTGAATGCC